TAAATATAATAATCACATATAAACTAGAACGTGTTAATGTTCGTGTAATTTTCTAAGCTATATACATATATATGAGAAAAATAAAAAAAATAAAAATAAAAAGAAGGTAAAAAAAAAATAATAAAAAACGAAAATAATATCGATCTTATTTAACGATCGTGCGAAAATGATTATAGTAATTATAATGATTTGTTATCGATGGGAGGATCCTATGAGAATATGAGAGAAAGTTGACGAAGAAAAGTTAACAAAAAAATAAGAATAGAGAGCTCTTCATTTCTTTCCATGGTGTACACACACAAACACACACACAAATACACAGACAACTATGCATACATGCATGCATGCATACACAGATAAATACAACTAAACGTTCAGTTATGCGGTAAAATAATTTTTATTCTTATCCGTGCGAACTCAGTAGGACTCGCACGAGGCGACTTTAAGATTGGCCCCTTATTTCTATAATATTTCTTCTTCTTTTATACTACTTCTATATTATGAAGCGTGTCATTCGTTGTATAACAATGATAATTACAGTCACGATCCTTCCTGACGACGTTTTTCTTTCGTTACACCGGCCAATTGCATTAATTACGAACTAGATGATGCACGAAACAACGTTTATTCTATACAACAAATTTTCTTACACATTTTTGTATATATATATATATATATATATAATTCTTTTTTTTTTTTTTTTTAAATCTTGAAGATTAATAAAATATTCGATTTCGTTAATATAAAAACAACAAATAGATATATCAAATATAAATCATCTGGATTTAATTACGAATCGTAGAAAATAGGATTCCATTGGATTTTAAATTTTTCTTTTCAATCATTTCATTGTTACAGTAAATTAACAAATATTATTTATTGTAATTTAAATTAATACGAAATAAAAGAAATAAATAAAATTACTGTATTTATACTTGTTTTTATATTTATATATAAAAAAAAAAAAATATATATATATATACAATAATAGTGTTTAAATAAAATTGGAAATAAATACAACTTTAAACGAGAAATTAATAGTTTCGTTTTAACGATCAAGTATCTTTAAAAAGAGGAGATCCCCTGATCTTTCTCGATCACGATCTAACTGATCTAGGTTTAGACACGATCTTCTTCAATTCCTGCATTTCCTAGAAAGCACGATACAAAATAGTAGTAGTAGTCTGAGAGTGTGGGTCACGAGCACGTTAATTGCCAGGTAAGGAACGCGAAGGTACACTGTGTTTCCATTTATTTTTCTTTGTATTTTTTTTTCCTTTTTTTTATTTTCCTTCCTTTATCTTCCTTTTACTTTACTTTACATTACTTTACTTTACTTTACATTACTTTACTTTACTTTACTCTGATACAGTCTATTCCTTAACTAGTCGAACGAGAAAGGATAAATCTTGAATGCAGGTGCACCGGAAAAACTTTGAAGTCGAGTTTCTTCTATTGCATCCTCGAACAAGATCGATCTATAAATCTTTTCAAGATCACTAGAGCAAGTTCTGATTTAATTAGTTTCTCTTTCTCAATTAGATATTACATCAAATTGATACATTTGACTCTAATTTTTGTTTGGTTTTCATTTAATATCATTTAATCGTTTCATACAAAAGAATAATACAAAATAAATGAAATATAATACTAATAATAATAATAATTTAAAATAATTTTTGGATCTATCTTATTGACGAAGATTTACAGGAGAAAAAAAGGAAATAACTCTAAATGAAATTACACATATAGAAATAAATTTATTTTATGTATAAAAATTAAATCTTTCGATCCATGTTTAACGTTTTATTCGAAAGTTACGAACAATTTTCTATCTTATCGATTAGTAAATAATATTTTTTAATTTTTTTTCTTCCCTTAACAGAAATTCTACTTATTATGAAACATCAATGTTTAAAGTTGTTCATTGAATCATCCTTAAAAGATGCTACATAATTAAAAAAAAAAGATATTCCTGAGTTTGCTAGAAATCATGATATCGTTTCGAAACCATCGGTTGATCCAATAAGACGATAAATATAAATCCATGATAAAAGTTACGAAAGATAAAAAGAAAAGTGATTATTATTTTTACGAAATTATTGAAACGAAATCGTACGACGAATAAAATATACGAGTAAATTCTTTTTTATTATATCAAATGAAAGGACAATGAAATAAATTTTAATACAACTTTTTGTTTATTATCGAAAACTTCCTTCCTTGCTTTCTTCCTTTCAATTTCAAATTCGAGTTTTATCGTTATCAAACATCGATTACGACGAGTTACTCCTATACTTCGCAACCAGTCTATTTTTACATACACACATACACACGAACACATTACTCGAACGTAAATTAATATCAATTTCTACGCGTTAAAAAAATAACAACCATTTTATTTACCTGAATTATTGTTTGTATAATTGTAAATATGACAGAAAATTGAACGATTGCATGTATGAAAATGTTGGTTAAAAAAAAAAAAACATGAAATATTTATCGATTCGTACGTATTAAAATGCGACTTATAAAACTACTTTAAAAGAAAATATTCTATGAGACTTCTCTGTACAGTAGTTGAACATGCGAGTATGAAAATGAAAGAGAGACACACCTAAGATTAGGCCTCCGTATTAGTTTCCGCTACATTAATCGGCGGAAACGATCGAGACTCGAAGACCCCTCTAAGACTCCCTGATAAGATCACCTTTGATGAATACATTGGCTATGTGCACGCGATTCTTCATATTTATTTATTATTTTTATTTTTTAATCATTTTTAAAACAATAGACACAAGAAAATAATAACAATAATAATAATAATAATAATAATAATAATAATAATAATAACAATAAAAAAAGATAAAAGCAAATTTGTTTGACTAAACAGCAAGAACTGTAATTGGTATATTAATCAAAGCAATTGAAGGAACTCGTGCTAAAGCAACTTGTAATTACAAATGCCTCTCTTCTCTATCTATCTATTTATCTATCCATCCATCTACTATATCTATCTATCTATCTATCTATCTATCTATCTATCTATCTATCAATCTATCTCTTACAAACTGACTATTACACTTTCAAAGATTTCGTTTTAACGTAATAATACCAGACCAAGTTGAGAAACACGTTTCTTTTTTTTTATTCGTTGCATTTGAATATCACTCTCTCCGTCATTTTGTATTTCTTTTTTTTTCTTTTTTAAATAATTAATAAAAATCTGATTGAAAAGGTATTTATCGACAATATATTTTTTTGTTTATTTTTGAATAATAAATAAACGAAGATTTTAAGATTTAAAATAAAATAAACTTAAGTATCGACAAACGTGATTTAACAAAATCTGATATGCAAAAAAAAAAAAAGGAAATTACTTTTCGAGCAAATCTAATACATTGCAATATGGTTTCCGGTATAAGTTTGTAAAGTTCGCAAGATAGAGATAACAAAGTAACTTACAATTAATACAGGAGTTAGTTAAATTTAGTTTAGTTATTAGTTTCTACCTTGGGGACACTTTTCCTTCCGTCAAAGTTAACGCCTAAAGCTTTCTCCTACAAAAATACTAAAATTCTTCCGATAACTTTTGCAAAAGGAATAAATGAAAGAATAAACAACTTCTTTAGCATTGGACGAATGCCAAAGCATTGAAAGAAGAAGTTAAAGAAGAAGAAGAAAAAGAAGAATAAAAAGAAAAAAGGAGAAGGAAAAGAAATCGTCAAGGAGGTCGCAGTGACGTTCGAGTATCGATTGTTTATTCGTTCCAAGTTCCTAAAGAAATATTCGTATTTCCCGCGGAACAAAAATGGCGGTCAAATTGAAAACTAATTGTTTGATTTATTTTTTTAATCGATTTTAAAAAGAATAATACAAAAAAGGGAAAATTATTTTATTTTTTTCACGACAAAGAATTATGTCTCCTTGATGATTATAACTCGTCATTTAAAAAGACTAGGAGCAGCATTACAGGTATATAACACATTCATTTTGTCGTTCGCAATATATAACCTTGTGCACACAGGAAACGAACGCCATATTCGTCATAGCGTCACAGCTCGGGAATAGCTTACTACAGTCTCTGTAAGAGGAGACCGCGTGATTACTTCTGTCTTTATCTTTCTTCCTAACCTTCTTCCCTTCTTTTTTTATATCCCTTCCATAGACGATTAACAATCGAATTGTTTTCGTATGAGATTATAAACTAACAAGAAACGATGTTTTGTCATATCGAATTGAATTTCACGTGTATCTTTTTTCCTGACGAGCACGGTTTTTACATAATTAAATCCAACACTTTAAATTTCAAGCTCAAAAGTAACATACAAATAAATAAATAATTAATTAATTTTAACTTACAAATATACAATTATCTGTCGTTTCTATTTAAGTATTTTCCTTTTTATTAGCAAAGTAGAAAACAAAAAATAAAATAAAATAAATGTCCTAAATTCTCGTAAAATTCGTGCCACCGTAATCCTGACATTTCTCGACGGTAGATTGATCTCTGGGTAATCGATAAACGGTTAAAGATCTGGAGTATGAATCGAAAGCGGGTTAACTAGCTGCTTTCACTCTTTTCCAATAACAGTTGCAATTGCGAAAACGAGTTATCCAATAAATACATTTAATCATTTATTCTCACTATAAGAAAATACAATTACAAACTATTCTCATGAATATAATAACGATACAGAAGATTGATAACGATAATATACGATTTTATAGAAAACAAGCGAGAGATTCTATGCTTCGTGCCACCGTACATTACAAAATGCCAGCTCCTATTCAACCCCTTTTACACGATAACGATGCTTACTACTTAATCTTTATAAATACGTATAAAAGAAAGAAGAAAACAGAAAATCATTCAATATAATAAGATGACCCAATTACTGTCTATAATTTAACCTAAATTAAAGATATATTTATAAAGATATATTAAAATAAGTGAAACTAAATACAAATAAGAAGATAAATAAAATGATGAAACTAACCTGTCGCGAGTCGTAGGTGTCGGAGAAATGTTCGGCATCACCCCCAGCGAGTTGATACTGTTGCAATAGTTGTTGTTGTTGCTCGCCAGCGGGTCCTTTACGTCGATCGTCACCCGCGTTGCGATCCATGTCGTCGAAACCATGGACGACCCTGTCGGCCAGGCCGTTACAGGTCGTCGAATCCTTCCTCCCTCCTCCTCTTCTCCTCCTTCCTCCTCCTCCTCTTCTTCCTTCACCCTCGTCCTCGACACCGCTTCCGCTGCTTTGGTCTCAGCGAAGAGGCGCGAGATCGCGCACAACATTCAACGTTTCTACTGTCTGATATTAAATATCACTGCATCCGACACAAACTTTTTCTTTTTTCCACGAAAGGATGACAATAAGGATGACAATAATGATGAACAACCGTTTGCACCGGTCCTTGTCCTCGTCATAACACACTCGACTAGATTTTTTTTTTATTTAATTTACAAAAATGAACACTGATTAATCAATTTTGATTTTTCCCTTCTCTATCTTTGGATATGTGTGTGTTTATCCTTGTCCTTATTTTTTATCATGAAACCATCTACGTTACCTTTAAATTTGAATAAGATGAAAATTAAAGATAATTTTTTTTAGTTGAAATGATTCTTAAATGGAAGGAGTGAAAGTAAGAGAAAAAGAGAAAGAGAGAGAGAGAGAGAAAACAAAAGGGGGTGGGGGTAAGATATTGGAAGAGGAGAGAAGATTCGCGAGGATCACCGCTATTTTCGTCGGCGACGTGCTTCTCTTTCCATCTCTTTCCCTTTCTTTCTTTCTCTTTCTATCTACCAGTAGCCTTCTCTCCACGCACCTCTTCTATCCCTCTATCGATTTTACGCGGTGTGCGCGCGTTAAGAAGAAACGTTAAAACGGTCGCGAACATACGAGAGAAACATACATGGTATCTTTTCTAACGAAATTGTGCGAACCACTACCACTACACCAATAAAAACGCATACGATCCGGGCTTACGAATATACGTACATACAGAGAGAAAGAGAGAGAGAGATACTACTATTACAAGTTGGATTGTTCCAAATGTTTCCTCAGATTTTCGACAGATGTCAGGATTATTATCTTCTATAATATTAAATATAATGTATTAAATAAAATAATAATATTAATAATTTACGTACATTTCTTTATCAAGTTCGAAATTATTATAAAAATTAGTAGAAAAAAAAGAACAAATAAATTGATTTCTTTTCTCGATTGAATTATCTTTCAAAATCAACCAATAAGATTTTTCAAAAATTTAATAAACATATATATACATATATGTATGTATGTATGACTAAAGTGGTCGAATCACAAGTTTCTGATTGGCGGGCAAGAAGAGGAGCGCGCGAAGCGTGCAAACGATGGAAAGAGAAAAAAGAAAAAAAAAGAGAGATAGAGAGAGGAGAAATAGAGAGAAAAAACAGAGATGAAATATAGAAAGAGATGAAAAATATGAGCGCGTAAAGTAAATTTGAAAAAGAAAACTGTATCGATAATAGTAAATAGGAAGAGTCGATCATGTATTAAAGTCAAGTCTCCCTCTCCCTCTCCCTCTCTCAAAGTTGGAGTTGGCACGCACGAGGAGGGGCGTAACTCGCGCGGTCGCGTTCGAAGCTTTAAGAGAGAAAGAGAGTAAAAGAGAGAGAGAGAGAGAGAGAGAGAGAATATAATACGCGAGAGATGGGGGCGTTTTCTCCCTTCAACTTCCACGATCCTATATCTCTCTTTCTCTCTCATTCGTCAGCTCGCTCATTTACCGGCTGTGGTCTTTTTCGATTGGCCAATACGATAAAACTTCTTCGATTGATCTTCTTATGTTGCACGAAAAAGGTTATGTATTCACGTATGTCGTCGTTTAAAAAACGCACTGATTTTCTTTGATAATCACCAAGCACCCCCAAAAGAGAGAGATAAAACGACGTTTCTTCTTTCCTTCCTTTCTTCTTTTTCGTTCTTTCTATCTCTCTCTTTCTTCTTCTTCTTTCTTTCTCTCCTTCGTTCACTACAAAATGATATACAATACTTCGTTCACGCACCTTCAATGACCAATAATCTCACGCACGATTTATTAATCAAACGAAATTTCGATGATCGCGAATTACAACGGGTGTTGTCAGCCCAATAAATCGTCCTCGTCGTATACGAGCTTTAAGAACACGGCACGTTCTTCGTCGGCCATAGTGAAAACCACCGTCGTTATAGTCGATTGTAGCGCCACCAACTACCCTATCCTATCCTTATCGATGCGTCGATAGCATCGATCTTTCGAGAATTCGAGAGACGATAATTTTATCAAATCTTCTTATCTTCTTATGGTATTTCTCTAATCCTTCTTTCTTTGCGCGCACTATTCAAAAATTTTGTTTCATATAAAAATTATGACAATTTTGAAATAAATTATATTAATTATTTATATATGTATATAGGTGGATGAATAAGTTTTAAGCCTAACATAGAAACAATTCTTTTTTTTTTCGATTTTTTAAACTTACTTTTATTTAGGAAAAAAATTGTTTCATTGAGGCTCAAAACTTTTCAATCCACCCTCGTATATACTAACTCATTTTTTTTCTATTCGAATGTATATATAATTATTAACATTTTTTCTTCGTATACAAAGTATCTTCTATATATGTAGCTTCGTTTTTAGGCTGTGTCTATGGAACAAAAATATTTCTATTTAAACAATAATAATCATATTTTTAACAATTATCTTCTAATAATTTACATTACTTGTAAAATATGTATATTAAAAATCTAGGCATATTTACAATAAATTCATACCTAAATTTATAAACATTTTTATCCAAAAATATTTCTCATGGCATAATTATAAATATTTATAAATATTTAATATATATATATATATATATATATTTTATATACAATTAGTTGGGAGAAACTCTTATTATTTACTTAATCAGACTTATTCTCGATAGGACTTATTAAACGTATCACATATTCCAATATTTTAACAACATCTTGCTCTTGTTCCACATTATTTGTTGTTAACAACGTTAATCTACCTAACGCCTCTTGTATACTTTGTGAAAACCCAGCAGTTCGTGCTATTAATTTTCCTTTTTGATTGTTACATATTAACGACCACAACATTGATCCCGCTATTCTGATCTCACATAATGATCCATTTTTAAAAACGTCGTGAAGAAGATTGATGATATCCACTATAAAAAAGAAAATGAAGAAACCTTATTAAATTAATAAATGTACTTATTTTAAAATTTAGCAATTTTTTAAACAAACCTGAACTAAGAATTCTTGGCCTATTTGTCATATTAAATGCTAAATTACGTAGAATAGAAATGGCTAAAATTTTTGATGGTGATGATGAACATTTTGCTAAATGTATCAAAGCATCTAAACTATCTACAGCCTAAAATAAATAAATTAATAAATTAAACGCGTACTACGATAATACAAATTTGTTCGCGCATGCATTAAAAAATTATAATTATAATTATATATATATTTTTTTACTTTAGGCACACAAATTTGTCCTTCCTCGTAATATGTAAAATCGATTAGAAATTCTAAACAATAGAGTTCTACCAAAGGCCAAGGTTTTACTCTTTTTGTGGTAACGGGATGAATCTTCGTAAAGAATTGTAATAAATTACTCTGAAAAAAGATAAATTAAATTAAATTAAATTAAATTAATAAATTACATAGTGATGAAAAAACAAATAAATACTTTTGAAATAGAAACTCTGCATTCGTGCACGTGTACAGCATTTCGTAATACATGAAATGCAAAATGCAATTTGTTGTTATCAAAAAGATATCCAGCTTTATCGATTTCTTTACAAATTAATTGTATAATGATATGTATTATAGCAATCGTGTTAGGTGTTTTTCTTAATCCTGCTCCTGGCAATACTGTAGTTAAAGTCAAAGATTGCGATGCTGTAAAATAAAAAACACTTGCGTATATATATATGTTTGTTATATATTACATAAATTAAAAAAAAAACTAATTTTAATTTATACCTGCGGAACATTTAGTAGTGAACGTTGCCAATAATTTTAAAGCACAGGTCGAAATATTTTTATTTAAAGCTATCCAAGCCCATAATTTATGCAACACATCAGCTAAGCCATCTTTGGTAAGTGTTTCTTTAACTTGCAAATTTTCATGCATAAAATTCATTAATAATATGAGAATATTGTTTATATCACTGAACAAAGGATTAATCTGAAAACAAAAGAAATAATTAGATTCTCTTTAATTATTAATATAAATAAATATCGTGAGAAAATATAAGAACGCGTACCTTTTTTTCACGCTCAACCTGATTTTTGTAAAGTTCAAACGGTTGTAAATTTAATTTGACATACAATTCTTTGAGTATCATCAACGCAGTCTCCGATAAGTTCTCTTTCAATGCAACTTTTTTAGCTTCCACAGAAACGCATAATAAATTAGCCAGTGAACTGACAATGAGATCTCTATTTTCTATATGTTTACGATTTTTTTTGGATCTCGTATAATTATGAGCAATAAAAAGAGCTAATAAAACTTTGCATAATTCAGCACCAATCGTACACTGATGCTCGTTGTCTGATTTCATTTGAATGTTATCCGAATTTATGGTGTAATCCTCAGTTTCTTCATTCCTATTTGTTTTTTTAGAATGCAAATTTATACTCCTTATGGAAAGTTTGTTAACATTGGATATGACTTCTTGTAAATTGTTACTTTGATTATTTCTTGGAATATATATAATATTATCTAAGATCATCTTTATCGAAATGTTATTCTTTCCTAAAGTTTCTTTCTGAATTTCTTGAGTAAGAAGAAAGGTAAGACAGGCGATAGCACTCATTCGTAATTCTGTATCAGAATCTTTTATCGCTGTGCAAATAGAAGTCAGTGCTTTATCCGGACCATGTAATTCCAAAGCTGCTTGAATAGATTCAAAGTGTTGATCATCCGTTAATGATAATACTGATAAAAAATTATATATTTCTGCTTTTAATTTGTTGTACAAAGAAATCAAACGTGGCGTATGAATATCTGTAAAAATATTTAAAAAGAATTAACATTAGTTTTAACATACAAGATGTTCCAATTATTTTCCATAAAATTTTATTTGTATAATACTTACTGTACAAATCGTTATGAAGAAGATTAAATAAAGAATAAATACAATCCGAAGTAAAGTTGGCAACTGCAGCAAATTCATTGCTATGTACAATGCAATTCGATAAGACCACGCAAATGCTGGTATACATTTCTAAAATTTCGCAATAATGTATAACATCTTTTTTAGTATCAATATTCTGTGGAATTTCTTTTAAATTTCCGATAAGATATTTATCCAATGATTGTTCGTAAACATGGCGTACAACTTCCTGTTGGCCGATAAGTATTAAATTATTTAAAAGAGTACAGCTCGCTGTTACTAAAGCAGGAGTTGCAATAGATAGTAAATAATTATCCATATCCACACTTTCAGAATCCACCGTGGAAACTGCATAACAAAATAACGAATAACATGTAATAAAAAATATAATCAAATTAATATATAAATAAAATATTTGAAGTGCTTACATGGTAACAGTTCATCCTGACAATTGTATAAATATGAAACAGTTCGTGGTACTAATGAAATGTTTCCTGATGTTGCAGCTTGTATGGATGGTACTTTATCATCTTTTTGTTGTTGACCATTTAACAAATCAAAATCTAACGATGGTAGCACGTAAATGTTGGAATACAATATGCTCATCTCGTAATAAAAATTCACTTGTTCTATGTATATTAATATGATATTTGTTTCCAACGAATTCACCTATTAGAATATAATTACTTAATTATTAATAAAAAAAAATGCATTTAATTATTTGTGCCATAAAATATCTTACATGTTGAAAAGATATGGAGTTGTAATTTTTAATTAAGTTGCTGAACGCGATACAAGCTTGTTCTCGAACGATACAAGATTCTTCTCTGATTATAATATATTGCAATAACGTGTAACATAATTCGTTAGGTGCAACAGCAATAGCATTAGAAATTTGGGATGCTGAATTCATTTCGTTTAATAATCCTGACAAAAGTTGCAATGCTGATGCACGTACCAAAGGATCTCGGTTTTGCCAAAGCATTGGCAACCAACCCAGAGATCTGCTATCTTCGTACCAAAATGCTATCCACATCTAAAAACACACAATGACTAATTATTAGTTTAATTAAATAATTTGTTTTTCATGATCTGATTTAATGAAAATATTTGTACATTTTTATTAAAATTTTCGTGCATTTGATAAAGCAAATGATTGAGACAAATGATAGAATTCCTGGTTATAGATAAACCCATGAAACTGACTGTACCAGCACCATGAAAAGATATAATCATTTCGATTAGTGTGTTTCCTAAAGATGCTAATAAATTTTTATGATTGCTCCAATCGCATTGATTTATTAAATATGTTAAACATGTCAACAGCCAATCCAAATATGCTAGAAAACAAAACATTCATTAGAACAAGTTTGAAAGTAAAAATAAAATGTTATATTCTTACCAAGATTGTAAAAATGTTGTTGATTGCCAAAACATAAAGTAGAAACAACTAATTCGATAAAATGAATCCATGTATGCGTCGGATTAATGTTTGATTTTTCGTTTCTTTCAATGGCTGCACAAGTGCGTGCTAATTTCAAAATCGATTGATGTACATCTTGATTATCCATTTCCAAATTTTGAAATAAATCTGCCCATGACTTTGTCATATTTTTTATCATCTTACTGATCCATGAACTTTTACCTACAATAATAATTTATATCTTAAAGATTAAATAATTTAATCATCTTACTTTTTATACTAACTAATTACCTTTCGTCGTGCCGATATATAATTGTAGAAAATTAATAATATTAACGAATAGATCGCAATCCTCTTTACTCGATGGATGCGACGATAAAAATCTTTCGAACGTTTGTTCCCATGGCAAAGAATGAATATCCTTGATTTCTTCGTATCTCAATATGTTATAAAATTTTAAATACCTATAATAAATACATTTTATTATAAAAATATATGCGCGAAGATGTGTATATAATTAATTGTTTAATTAAAAAAAAACTTACATTATGAGATAATCCAAAGCATTTAAAACCCCATCATGAGTCGTAGAATTTTGTATATTATATAATTGTTTTTGACAATAAAAATATGAACAACTATATTGAAAAATAAGGAATTCGTAATCTTGTATTCTCAATTTTTCTGGTAATTCAGGATCATTAACATCATCGTAATTTTTCCATAACATCTTCCATCCACCGTTCCATTCCCATGCCCAATATTGTCGTACAAATGTTAGTATCGTTTGATTGCTTCCATGGAGAACTGTAATAAGTATATACGAATTATTATAATAATATATTAAATATATTAAATTATTATATAGAAATATACCTGATATTTCTGATCTTCTATGTATACTAGTCTTCCAATGAGATTTACAAATTAATGGTAATCTCATTTTAATGACGATAATGTGAGGCAATGATATTGTTAATTGCACATTACTTTCTACGTGTTTTTCATTCATTCTAATTATATAATCATTGTATAAAAGTAAACATAAAATATATGATCCATCAGCCTTGACGCATTCATTATTTGGAAATAAAAAGATACCTAAAAATTTAAATATATAAATAACAATTAAAATAAATAATTAAACTAACAATATTGAAATAAATACTGTACATACTGCGAATAATATTAATGAAAACGTCAACGTTAGTGGATAATTCATGTCTCACTGACGATTCGCTCGCAACAATTAATTTTAATATCGCAAGTATCGGAATTACAGAATCAGGATAATTTTTATAATCATTTTCTACCTATAATCCATCACACAAAAATACAATTATATAAATGTTATAGTTTTTTAAACGTAAAAAATATTATTGTATTTACCAAAGCACTGTTGAATGCATGTAAAATTAACGATAATCCATTTTCATTAACGAATAATTTATGCAGAGATATGTCTGTAAGCATAACATTGATTTGCACTAATGCAGATTTACGCATTTTAGGATCAACATCGGAATCTCTTAACATTTCTAGTACCGATAATAAACTACTTCTCTAAAATAATTATATTTAATTGTTATTTACTTTATAAATTTTATATCTTAATAAAAAAATATGATTAAATGTAAAACCTGATAATTTCCTTCTAGGCGTTTAAAAACAGATGGACGTTCGAATATGCAAAGAGAACTGAGAGGTAGACCGTGCAACGAAGATAATCTTGGTAATTTTTTCATAGAATCTTTTTCTTGGCCGAGTAACCAAATCAATCTACAAGTAGCTTCTTCTCTGACATCATATTCGATTGAATACAACAGTCTTAAATTACCTTTTAAAACCTGAAACATAATATTATATAATGTTTAAATAATTAAACATTGTATATAAATAATAAATAAAATATAAATAATTTACTTCGAGGTACGGTAAGTGTATACTATTAAAAATATCAGGATCAAGCATTTTTGTAATACATCTTCCAATAACTGTAGATGAATGCGCGTAACATTGAAGAAGTGGTAACACCGGTATAATCGTTTCTAATATTTTTAACCATCCTGTCTCATTCGCTTGTACTTTTCCTTTTAATATATAAATTATTATCTCGTCAGACATTTCCCTTATCTATAAAATATATTAATAAATAAAATTAATAAAAATGTTATGCATATAAATTAATAAAAAATAAAATAATACGTGCTAACTTCTTTATTTTTATTGGATAAACCATAGCAAATGATCTCTGTTAAAACACTTGGTTCCAAAAGGAAGATCAAATTTTCCCAAGTAAGTTTTTCTTTATTATATTCTATCCCTAAAATACTTTTAACTAAATTATGGCACTCCTTGTATGCAGTTTCTTGAATATCTGTATCTCCATTTGCTAATAAATTTAATATTAATTTCGTGCATATTACATGATCTTCCTTGCTAAGAGAATATCTGTGAATAAATTTATCATGATTATTAAAATATGACAAATAAATATTTGATTATTAATCAATACATGCCTGTTAATATTTTGTAGAAATTTAATAGCTTTTTTAACTATGCTCATATTTTTATGATAAGGCAAACTCAGTTTAGATGCGTATAATGTTTTTAACGTATCAGAATATGATCCTCTAGAAGAATCTTTTATCGAACAAATAGCTGCTTGCATCGATTTAATGATAACTCGAGTTTCATCGAAGACTTTGATTATCGCCAATTCGTTTGAATCTTCTAAATGCTATATGTATATATATAAATAATATAATATTAAATATAAAAAAAAAAGAAAATAATATTTTTTTAATTTATAAAATTTACCTGAATGTATACTTGAAGTGCAATGTGTAATTTTGGATACATTAAATATATGGAAGCATCCATTAATGCAATAGACATTGAATTTCTCATCGACTTAGTTAAAATAATATCGGCTACTTCAAATGGTACAATATTACTTAATAAGTTGACTGTAATACAAAGAAGATGGAGATACGTGATTCTGTGATAATCTATGCTACTGTAACTTCCAAAATATTCCAAAGAATCTCCTAGTAATGTTAACAACATTTTCAATTCGTCACTCATCTTTTTTGCCATACTGTCATTGCATATCCATATATTTGGCATGACTGTGATTAATAATAATTGCACTAATTCGTGAATCAAGTCAACTATGTATTTAATATTTTTTAATGGGAATGTTGAATCATTAGGAATATTCAATTGTGAAATAACATGTTTTAGTGTTTCGATACAATAGGTAGGAATAAGCATTTGTTGTAACCGTAATACGGATTCATCTGCATTATCCATGATACTTTGACTTCTGTCACTTGTAGCCTAAAGAAAAATATCTGTCATTATAATAAATATGATGTTTAAAAAAAATAAAACTACTTACAGCAGATTGATACGCTTGATAATTAGCTTCTGGTATTCCTCCATCAGGACTATCTCTAGCTTCTGATAAATGATAACTATTATTATCTAATTTTTCTGTAAGTAACTAAAATAAATACAAATTAATATAGCGAGTAATCAGTTATCAAACAGTTTCGGGTTGCATCATTATTAGACATATACATACACGTTAATAATTCAAACAGATATTTACTTTTACCTTTTGCTTTTTATTAGCTACGCAAGGATCATAATAATAATAAATTCTAAACCGTAGACACCTTGTTAATTTGTGCAATGTTTTCAATACAGCAGATATAATATATTTAATATCAGGCTCCATGATATTTACGCTTGTATCGAGTAAAGCATGCAACACCTAGAAGAAGGAAGGAAAAATATTGTTAGATTAATGTGGGAAAAAAATAATGTCCGTAAAAAGATTATTTTTTTAATATTCACAGATACTATTGCTGGCCTTTGAAGGAAAACTTCGGCTGGAAAATCTTGTAACATGACATTACTTATAAACTGACATGTATGTAATATTAGATTAGTATCTGACGTATTATTTAAAGCTTCCTCCACTGCTCCTAATACACCCTTATCTGATGTGACTAATGGTTGCCATGGCATTACTAACCATTTTATTCCACCCTCCACTGTCTTGGATACAAGTGTACCATCATCTTGTTGAAGAGTAAGATCCACAGGCAATGTACTAAATAAAAAATCATAATATTTATATTTAATATACAATTTAAAAATTTATATCATAAAAAAAATGTATCAATAGACTAAGTATATGCATTTACCTGTCCAATGGAGATATAAAAGTACCAATATTATTGGAAGCATTAATTGTGTCTGCGTTAAAATCTCTACTTCCATACTTATCATAATTATGAACTCTTGTAACATATTCTGATTGTTTCAATGATATTCTTGAAGGATCTAATGACTACGATAATTACAACAAATCATTATCAAACATTCACATGGTATTAAGATCAACGTATAAAATAAATTGTTTACCTTATAATTACATCTGTCATTGACAGATTCTTCTTGATCTGGATTAAGAATAGTTTGTTCTATCTGATGAATTTTATCGTGCCATGAATCGTCAAGTTTTCTTTTCAATTGATCTAACTCATTTTGAAAGCGTGATCTACCAAATGCATTTAAGTAATTGTTATTTCCACCCTTAAAGAAATTAACAGACATTCAATGTATAACGTTATAGATTCTTTATGAATATTTATTACTATTAAAAAAAGTTAGTATACCTTTATCAATCTATGTAACAAGTCTAAGGCTTCTTGAGGATGAGGTATGTTGTCAAAAGAAAACCAATGAAACAGTTTAATAATCAATTCTTTTTTAACAGCATCAGAATCACATCCAAAGCCAAGATCTAACTTAGAAATAATATTCTCCAATGCTCTTGCTCTAATCTCATCAATACTGTGCGCTGAAATTGAATATATTATTTTTTAAATTTCACATTTAATAGAAAAAAATTAACCTTAAAATATATCAATTATTTCTTACAACTAATAAAAGCTTACCTAACTTTTTAACATGTGCAAAAGTAATAGTATTTAAACTTGACATTGTATATTATTATCAATTCGTAATACATGCAACTAGATTTGAGGTTAATTAAGTTTTGAACATAAAACCGCCACAAATTACATGAGCGCCAACTTACGACTATGTTCTCCGATTCTAGAGTCATCTAGTATTAAACAAAGTTTTGTCTATGTAAATTATTATTTTTTATTATATTAAACGTTTTTTCTATGTACAATATTTAATATATAAAACAATTATATTAGTGCAAAAATTAATGTTTTATTTATATTTTATTTACCAAATCTTATAAGAGCGTGTAGAATACCCTGTTTTTTAAGGTTATAATTTTGAAGTTAGAATGTGAGATTAGTTTTGATTACAGTATACACCACAAACACATATGTATATATATTATATTAATTGTGATTTTATTTTTATTAATTATGGGTAAGATTTAAATAATTATTCTTTAATAATTCAAAATAAATATTTTTTTATATATAAAGATGCATATATATATATATATATATATATATATATATATATATATATATATATATATATATATATGCATGTACGTATAATGATTACAGGTAAGGAAGCAAAATATTGTCAAGGGAAAGATGCTTTCGAGAGAATGAATTATTTGTATCAGGTAAGAAATGCTTGACAATTATTCCTAGAAAATTAGAACATTTTTCTTTTTATATTTTTTTTTATAGGCTAGTCATATGATATCATTAAAAAATAGAGTTGCTGCTTCGTATTATGGAAGTATGATGATGGGTTGTGCGAAGAAAGCTGTACTACGAGTGTAGGTGCTATATATAAATATTATATTAATTATAATTTAGAATTTTATATTTTAATTCTATTAAGGATCTATCATATTTTTTATATCTTTTTTTTTTTATATAGGGAGCCAAATTTAAAAAGAACGATATGCAAACAATGTAACTCTCCTCTTATACCTGGAGAGACGGCTAGAGTTAGATTATGTTCTAAGCGTATAAAAGGAGTTAAATGGACATGTTTGATCTGTTTAAATAGTAAAATGTATCCTACTAAAAAAGGATACAAATTATGGATAGAACAGCCGGAAGCAATCGTTGAAACTCTTCATTTTATTCCTAAAAATAAGTCTATCGACTGTGATAAAAGTAATGTAAAGGACAATAATAAGACTGAATCTACTACTAATACGAAGATAAAAAATAAATCTGATAATAATCTCAATGTAAATCAGGA